GGTTTCAGGCCTCCATGACATCCGACTTTCTTTCCCATGGTCCCAGCCAAGAGCAATCATTTCCCCATAATTACAAGATTGTATCAAAATAGTGCCTACACAAATGAGCTCTATATTACTGAGATGAGGTATTATGTACACTATTTACATTATTCAGACTATTGTCCTCATCTTTGTTGCCATATTTATCACAACGTTTTGGCCATTGTACGCTCCGGCCTTCTTCAGGTGGTTGGAATGTTGAACTGAATCCTTTATTTCGCTCTTATGGCACAGTGGATAAAGGCATTGGTTAGATCCAGTGACAGTGTGAGATCAATACCTGGTTAAGACAGTGGAGAACTTGGAGAAGTAATTTAACTAGGAGATAACCGATAACAGACATCCATTAGACATGGCACGTGGAACTAGAACAGTCCACACCAGCGACCAAAATAAAGGGTTCAGTTCAACATTCCAACCACCTGATGAAGGCTGGAACCTACAACAGCTGAAACATGATAAATATAGCAACAAAGATGAGGACAATAGTCTAAATAATGTAAATATTGTACAAATGAGATCCTTTTATTCAATCCTATGTAGGAATTCTGACCAATCAGAATTTGTTTAATTTTTTGACTATTGGTGTGCTGGCCAATCAGAAAGGCAGATTTCATGGTCTTTAACCATTATTCCTTCTGAATGGCAATTATGGTTTCTAGCCAATAAGAAATGGTTTTCATTTGATTCAAGGTTTTTGCCTATTAAAACTATTAATTTTATTACCTCCATTTTGAATTTTACTCTTGTTCCAACTCAATGATTAAGTTTTAATTTTCTTTTCCAATGAGTGAGTCAATTTACTCATTAAAAAAATGTTGCTAGGTTATAAATATTTCAGTTAAGTTCTTGGATCAACATACTTATATAACACTAATATTAATATAAAAAATAATGTTTAATATCTGTTTTAAATTCTCAATGAATAAAAGAAGTACAAATTCACTATCATATGTATAGGTTTTATTACAATTCCAATCATCATTTAAAACAATAAACATAGCTGAGGAGTAAAGCTAGTTAAAATAATAGCGATGTTGAGGAAAAAAAAAAATTTTTTTGACATTTATTTTTGAAGACATGAAGGTCCAAGTTTGCCAATTTCAATTTGGTAGAAGTGTGATCCAGAAAATTCCTATTGTACTGAAAAGTATTTTGTCTTTTTTCTATTAATTAAACACTTCAACAAAATTATAAATTTTGCATGTTAGTTAAATCAGCAGATGCATTACACCATGCCATTACTTCAGATAAATAATGGACCATTCATTTTGGTTGTGAGGAAAAAAAAAGATGCCATTTTGTCTTAGTGAAAAAAAGCAAGCAGAT